ATGGGAATCCAAAAGCCTAGGTTTCATTGTTGTGTTACAGTGAAGATGGAGAAATCCAAAAGCTTGGATTTTGTTCACTCTCATTGATTAGGTACCCATATTAGAACTTTAATGTAGGATGAGAGTATAATAGGGAAAAAAAGAACAAAATTGATAAAGTGTAAGTAAAGAAAAGAGGAGTGGAAAAATCAACTCTCTAAAAGAAAAGTCTAGTGGCATTCAGTTGGCTTCAGCTGAAGAATACCCCAAACTTATAAGGGCCATTCATTCCAAGCTATTATCTTATCCACTGGACCACTGCTATGTCAAACCAGCCAATTATTATAAAAGCTAGTTTTGTCTATCAGATATGGAAGATAATACTATACCGGGCCAACACAGTGAGTCAGTGACGTACAGCTTGAAAATAATAATGGAAGAAAGCTAAACACAACTTGCCATTTGAACATCATCAACATGATTTTCAATATAGAAAAGCTACTTGGATTTTTATAAAATAAATTCAATATAAAACTGTAGAATATATAATTTGGTCGACACTGGACAATATAACTGTAAAATGTGTAATTCTGCATATATACATCTTTTATTACGAAAGTTCAAGTCCTTTATATGATTTGTTTATAACTTCTTTTGACATGCCTAAAAATGCTTTTAGACAATCAAAAACAAAATTTGAAAGCTGTTTGCAGAAAAGTTAAGAGTACTTTTGGAGAAGCACATGTTAACGGTTCTTTCACAAAGCACATAATCACATACCAATAAAAGCGTCTACGAGCATAAGTGATTTTTACAGAAATAATCCAGAAAATGTTGTTATTCAGCTACCCTTGAATATTTAGCAAGACCTAGGCGGTTAAACTGAACATCAACTGGTGGGGGGCTGAAAGTGTTCTCACTGAAATGCTCACGGTAAAAAGCGGCTACGGCACACAAGTCGCTGGCCATGAGAAGGCGGGCTTCCACATCCTTGAAGGCCCAAGCGGTACTGGTGGAAAGGGGTAACAAGGAAGGAAATAGAGAAACCTTTACCCAATCCAGAAGTTCTTCTCCATAGAAATCCCCTGTTTTAAGCAACCTGCTAGAAACTTCATTGCTACTTTCAACCTTTACATCTCCGTCCACGATCAACAACATCATTCCAAGTGGTTCATTCTCTTTTATGATGTAGCTATTTGCAGCATATTTCTTAAGTGTCAGATGCTTGGACATTGCTTTTAACACCACTTCATCCATAGACTGAAGCTTTGGTATCTATACATGTACATATTCATTAAACACATTTAAATTTAACTGTACAATGAAAAAAAGAAGAAGATAAAATCTGGAAACTTACTGCCTTGAGCTTTTCCAACATCTTACAAGAATTGATATAGTTTCGAAGTTTGAAGGGAAGAATAAAGAGGATATTCTCCACGTCGACATCCCTGCCTTGCTTAAGTTCTTGCTTGACCGTTTTCATGACCTCCAACTTTAAATTATCCTTGTCACTTTCAAGGATGACATTCTTGGATAACCAATTTTCTATCTCGGTTCCTTTCTCGTCCAACTTTTTTTCAAATTTAATCTTGCGTGCCTCTACTTTTGCAGGGTCTGACTCTGACTGCATGTATGTCTATTAATCCAAAACAACAGCTAATTAAGGTTCAGTTCATTATCGAGGAGATTAAGCTTAAAGACAAGTTTTTAGCACCAACCTGCAAATTTCCAATAAGATAACAAAATAGTAGCAAGCCAATTACAGAAATAGAAGCCGCAAATAGGTTTTCCCATGTATTAATACTGGGTTGGAGGTTTGAGCCAAGAGAACTGAAAAAATGAAAAGGAGCAAATATATATAAGAGACAAATTTGGACGTAAGATCAAGGAATTTCATATGTACAAACCTCAAATTGCGCAGACCCCACCAAAAACAGTTGGAGAACTTTTGTGGAAAATTTGTTGACTCCGAAATACCAGATTGAAGGACACCAACAAATATACCAAAATCAAAGAGCGTTACATTTGGTGAATTTATTGGGCATAAGTCATTTAAAAGTGTGGTATTTCTGAACTGATTATCCTCGCAGACAAAATTAGTACTAGATTCACATCTATTGCCTGTTTGACATGCAATTTTCCAGCAAGTTGTCATTCGTTGAATAGCAAAAAAGTACCAAAAGGCCCCGAGTACCTGAAGAATCAACAAGTCAGTTAATTAAATTGAACTGTAAAGAAAATTCTAAAAAAAGTGAAAAAAAAATGGTAATTAAGCTGTCAAATTTCTTAATTGTCGTCATGATTTATGAGTTTTCGTCATTCATCAAATTGGTTCATTTATATAAGAACATAAGCTACCGATAAATCAAACAGAAAGAATTAATAAAGATTATGATGAGAGTAAAACTTACATGACTAGCAAGGATGTACAAAAAGAAATTGAGTACACCTTTAATCCATAGTTTAATATTTTCATATGGACTCTCTTTAAATTCCTTACATGAGAAGTAGATTCGAAGCACCCGTGGCATGTATTGCAACAGAACAAGGGAGTTCATAAGCTTCCTTGTTTTAAAAGGTCCCCTCCCTTTAGAAAAGAAAATGAGAATTACTACCTGGGGACAATACCAGCAGTCAATTCAAATTACCGTAAGGAAAATTAAATCAATTA